CCCATTCTCGTCGTTGTAGTATGAAATCTTTGTTTGTCGGTGTGTAGTATCCTTTCGGGTATCCCATGCTCGCTCGTCCCCTCTCTCTTCTGTGTTTCCTTTGTTTTCTCCAGATTATCGAGCAGCTAAATTCATGACGCCAGGCCAAAACTCCCCCATTATTCGTATTCCCCCCCTCACATCACCACGCAGCACCCTCCGGTCGGTTGTGGCGTGTATGGATCGTCCTTCTTGTCGACAGGTCCCCAAACGGATGGAACCATGAAATCGCGTGTCGTATTAGTGTAGGCAATGATGCTGAGCAAAGTTAGTGGGATGATCGGTCGGGAAGGGGGTGAGTGAGCGATGCGTACCTTCTTGCGGCTTGGGAGACTGGAATGCGCTCGCGCTCGAGGTCCTCTCGTAAACGGTTGTTCAATTCGGTGAGGCGGCGTAGCTTGAGGTCTGCCATTGACTGCTTGTTCTTCTTGATTTGGCTCGGGTCCGCCGCGTCGCGAGATGCGTAGGCCATGCTGGCGATAGCTCGATTGAACGAGGACGATGCGAGTATCGGATAAAGAAGGTTGGTCTTCGCTCTTCGTCGAAATAATTAATTGAAGGTAGCTGTTATGGAGTTCGGGCTTGAGGCGTGGAGCTGGTGCTGGTGCTGAAGAGCATAGGAGTTGTGGTTGAGCCTTTGCAATCTCACAGTACCCGCTAAATGAGATGTTTGTCCGGATTACAGTAGTAATTGCGGAAGTCACGCCGCCAATTCCTTTCTGTGTTTCGGGAGGTAGGGGAAAGAGCGAATGTGGCTTAGCGCGTTTAGCGCACCCACCACTCGCTTAGCTGCGAATCGGGCGTATTCACACCACACTTGCAAAATCTCAAAACTACGAGCCGCGACATCTCGACAAGACCATCGCCTTCTGGGACATCCGCACAAGTATCGACCACCACGATCTTGCCCAGCATGCCTCCTCCGCCGCACCAGAAGCCGGAGAACGTCCTCAAGAGGGCAGGGGAGTTGATGGGAGTTGGACAGTCTCAAGCCGCCCTAGTCCTGCTCCATGAGCACATTACCTCAAAACGATCCAGAAATGTCCCGATCGCGTCGCTGGAGCCGGTGATGCTCCTGTTGGTGGAGCAGTCCGTGGAACAAAAGAAGGGAAAACTCGCAAAGGACGCGCTATACCAGTACAAGAATATCAGCCAGAACACCAACGTCGGAACCATCGAGGTAAGGCTCAGCAGGTTCCGGAGGATGAAATCGCGTCGGAAAGTGACTGGGCGCTGACTTTTTATTTATAGCTTGTCCTCAAGAAATTCATCGAACTCGCGGAGAACAAGGTCCAGGAGGCCCAGGCCAAGGCAGATGAGATCCAGAGCACCCTCGAGACCACTCAGGCAACCGCCAGTGTCGATGATCTCGAAGCCAGCGAAACCCCAGAGTCGATCCTCCTGTCCACCGTATCCGGCGAGCAGTCTCGCGACCGCACAGATCGCGCTATCGTTACCCCATGGTTGAAGTTCCTGTGGGAGACATACCGCACTGTTCTCGACATCCTCCGCAACAATGCTCGCTTGGAAATTATGTATCAGAGCACTGCCATGCAGGCATTCGCCTTCTGCCAGAAATACGCGCGCAAGACCGAGTTCCGCAGACTCTGTGAGCTTCTGAGGAATCACGTCCAGACTGCTGCCAAGTACTCCGCTCAGCAGATGCACGCTATCAACCTGAACGACCCAGACACTCTCCAGCGCCATTTGGAGACGCGTTTCCAGCAGCTGAATGTTGCAGTCGAGCTTGAGCTGTGGCAAGAGGCTTTCCGCAGTGTTGAGGACATCCACACCCTCCTCAACCTCAGCAAGCGCCCACCGAAGAACATCATGATGGCCAACTACTACGAGAAGCTTACCCGTATCTTTTTGGTCGGCGAGAATTATCTTTTCCACGCTGCTGCCTGGTCCAGATACTACAACCTTCTCCGCCAGTCTGCTGCTATTGTCGCGTCAGGACAGGGCAAGAAGTCTGAAAACCCAGCTGCTTCGGAGGCCGATCTTACCAAGGCCGCTTCCTTCGTTCTGTTGTCTGCTTTGGCCATCCCTGTCATCAGCACCTCCAGATCCCGCGGAGCCTTGATCGATGTTGACCAAGCCAAGAACAACAAGAACTCTCGCCTGACACACCTTCTTGGCATGTCCGCTGCGCCAACCCGCGCGGTCCTGTTCAAGGATGCCATGAGCAAGGGTCTCCTCAGCCGCGCCCGCCCAGAAATCCGCGCGCTTTACAACATCCTTGAGGTGGACTTCCACCCTCTCTCGATCTGCCAGAAGATTTCCCCTATCCTGGCCAAGATCGGTGCGGACGAAGAGATGGCCAAGTACATTGCTCCTCTCCAGCAGGTTATCTTGACCAGACTATTCCAGCAACTCTCCCAGGTTTATGAGACTGTCGATGTGAAGTTCGTCGAGAACCTTGCCCGCTTCCCAGCGCCATTCGATGTTTCAAGGGATACTATCGAGAAGTTCATCATGAACGGAAACAAGAAGGGTGATCTTGCTATCCGCCTGGATCACGCCACTGGTGTCCTCAGCTTCGATACCGATGTCTTCTCTTCGGCAAAGGCTGTCCACACCGGATCTGCTGCCGGCTCTGCCGAGACGGAATCTCAATCCGTCCAACGACTCCAAAGCACTCCTTCAGAAATTGTCCGCACTCAACTCACCCGTCTTGCCAAGTCTCTTTACGTCACTTGCCAATATGTGGATCCTTCCTACAACCAAGCCCGCGTCAAGGCTCGCGATATTGCATTAGCAAAGGCTAAGGCCGGCGCTGAGCAAGAACATCTCGAGACTTTAGCACGCAAGGAGATCATCCACAAGAGAAAGGAGGCAGCTAACGAGATCATCGCTCGCAAGGAGAAGGAAGATGCGACGAAGAAGAAGATCAGAGCCGCACAACTCCAAGAGGCCGAGGACAAGCGTCTTGCGCAGGAGCAGAAGGACCGTGAGGAGAAGCGCATGAAGGCTGAGCTCGACCGTGTCCGCAAGGATGAGCTCAAGAAGCAGATTGCCGATCTCAAGATTGGTACCAAGGCTCTCGATATCGATCTTGAGGACCTGGACAACCTTGATGGAAACCGCCTCCGCGCCATGAAGCTTGCCCAGCTTGAGCGTGAGAAGAACGACACCAGCGAGAAGTTGAGAATCGCTGGTAAGCGTATCGATCACATCGAGCGTGCGTTCAGAAAGGAGGAGGCCAAGAAGCTCCCAGCCGACTACGAGGAGCAGCGCAAGCGTGATCTCGAGGCGTATGACAAGACCAAGTCGCAGGTCCTTCGGGATGCTGAGGCGAAGCACGCCGAGGATCTCGAGCTGTCGAAGAGACTGACAAGAATCACACCCATCTACGAGGAGTTCAAGACCGACGTCGTCGCCCGCAGGCACGATGAGTTCGAGAAGCGCCGTCGTGATGCCGAGAAGGAGCTGGAGAAGCAAATCAACCAGCGCCGCAAGGAGCACAGGGAGCGCAAGATCCGCGAGAAGCGTGAGCGTGAAGAGCAAGAGAGGATTCTCCGCGAGGAGGAGGAGCGCGCTGCCGTTGAGCTCGCAGAGAAGTCTGCCCGCGAGGAGCGCAGGAGACAGGAGTTCGCCGAGCTCAAGGCCCAGCGTGACAAGGAGCGTCAAGAAGGTCTCGAGAAGGCTGCCCTCCAAGCCCGCCGTGAGGAGGAGGCCCTTGCTCGCAGAGCAGGCGCCAGAGCCACCGGTGGTCTCCCAGTCCGCGCAGCAGAGCCAGAGCGTAGCGCCTCAAGCGACCGCCGCCCACCTCTCCCACTCGCCGGTGCCAAGCTCGGCTGGAGAGAGAAGGAGGCCCTCAGAGCCGCTGGCCAAGAAGTCCCATCTGAACGCACCGCCTCCCCCGCCGCTCCCGCTCCCGCTCCCTTCGCCCGCACAGACTCCAACGACCGCCCGTCAGGCCCACCTCGCCTTGCCCTCGCTGGCGCAAAGCCCAGCTGGAGAGACAAGGAGGCCGCGAGAGCCGCCTCTGGCACCTCTCCCGCGCCTGAGTCCCGCGATCGCGAGGCTCCTGCTATCGCTCGCACCGCCTCTGGAGCCGGTCCAGTCCGCGGCCGCACCGATCGCAACGAGAACGAGCGCGAGAGTAGGTCTCCTGCGCCTCCTGCTGAGCCACTGAAGGCCAGCGGCGGCGCTGGGAAGTACATCCCCAAGCATCTGCGCGACAAGGCTTAGATTTACGGATGAAACGTAGGGGATATATTGCATGGCTTTAGGGGAGGGAGTGGGTGGATAGTTGGTCACAGTAGCTAGTTTGGCTAGGCTCTGTCTGCTCATCTCTCTTCATTCTTTGATATTGGCGTTTATTTTTGGGCTTTGTAATGTAGTCGATACGTGGCGAGCATTGCGAGTTGGTGGGGGTGGGGGGGGAAAGGCTGACAAGCTGGAGGCCGGCCGAGAGGAAAAAGTCGAGGTGATGCCGCCGAGGGAGATATGGGGTGCCATAGTGAGAGTAGCATAGTTCAGAAATGAATGCAAGGTACACATAATTGATCCAAGGTCTGTTTTGTGATTCTAATAAATGTAATTATATTTTTTCCACTCTACAAATTACACTCTTAAAAAAATTCAGCGTGTGCCCTTCTCACGTGATTATATATGCGCAATCCGGATGTCTCCAGAGAGGAGATTAACTCGCCAGATGTCGGATTCCCAACTGTCAAACCATTATTGTACTTACCAAGGTCCGCGCCGACTATTATAGAAACCACTTCAGAGAGAGAGGAAGTCAAGTCCCAAGTCCGGTCCACAATCCAGTCGAGACTCCAAATCCAGAGTCAACTCTAATCATTCCCCACCAACTCTCCCCAAACCACACCACACCACACCCCAGACTACACCACCCACCCAAAGCACCAAGCACCACCATCCCACCCACCCCAAAAAAAATTAAATCAAAAAGCTCACCCATCCCTCACGGGACAGGCAAAACAACGTTTTTATTCCGGTACCGGGAATCGAACCCGGGGCTACCCGGCTCCAAAGATTCTTGAAAGCGGGTTATGTTAACCCCTACACTATACCGGAAGTATTGAGTTCCGAATGTGCGGTTATTTGGTATCTCGTAACCGTGTGTGTGCGACGAGGATGTGGGGATGCGTGATATAAAGCGGGAGGGGTTTGGTAGTTTGGGGTGAAGGGTTGATATGCTTGTTGTTTGTGTAGTTGTTAGGGTAGGTACATCTAAAAAATAATGGAAAAAAATATATTTGAATATAAAAGTAAAATATGTATCGGTCATAAATTCTACTGCATCCATGAAGCCATCGAAAATTACAGCACAGCATCAAGTAAATATAATAAAGCGATTTCACAAATACAAAGACACCCATCGAACCCACGAGCAAACAAAATTATATTCTTCCATTCTTTCATCCTACTCCCTACCGACCGCCCATTCAACTCCAAAAACACCCAATACCCTTCACAATCTTTCCCTGTTCGCTGAATCCCCTTTCCCCCCTTGAGCAGAATCCCGTCGACATCCTTCCCCACAGTGGCATTGACACGAATTACCAGTTGATACAACCTGACACCCCCCATTTCTTCCACCCCCACCCCCACCTCCATGCCCCCCAACACAACACCCCGAGCCACCTGCGGCCCCATACAAAGGCACCCAAGCCCATAAACCCGCATGAACCTGCTCATTGTGAGGGTATGCGCAACACCCAGCGGGATGACAATGAATCGGCGGATTATAGCCGTAAGAGGGATAGAAAGGTGCTCCTCCATGCCCAGTCTGCATCTGACAACCCATCTGACCACTCCACTGAGCAGGAAGACAGAAACCACAATGAAGTGAGCGTAACGGACAAGAACCTTTCCAGTTCTGCACCTCCTTCGAGCAAGGACAAGCCTTACAATCTCCATGCGACTTAGAGGCCGAACTTTCAGACCCATCCCCCTTCTCATCCCCATTCTTCCCCCCATCAGGAACAGGACGAGCACGATGACCCCCCTCCTCCACAACACCGCCACCACCAGCCTTAGACCCCGAAGGGGTCAGCGTCTCCGACACAACTGCATACAATTTTTTAGGCTTCGCCGCCCTTTCAACAGCAGGCATCTTCTCACCCCGTAACGCCCGGCGAGCACTCTCACGCTCAGCGCCGAACCCTGGGAGGGGAACCCTATTAGTCTGCCAAATACGCCTCTGAGCATCCCTCTCTTCATCCCTGCGCGTCAAAGATGTAGCACTAGCAGAATATCGACCTGGCTGCGGACTAGGCTGCCCATCACGGCTTCTATTAGCCTGCCACATGCGCCTCTCTTCAAGCCTGCGTGCCAAAGATATAGCCCTATCACCATATCGATCCGGCTGCGGACTAGCCTGTCCATCACGGCTCCTAATTCCCGCATCGCTATCAACCCTCATAACGCGCCTATGACGAGCTGATAGCTGATCAGCCACAACAAAAGGATTATCCCTCACAACCCTGCGACTCTTTGGTCCTGGAGGTCTAACGGGAGAAGGCACCAATCGCAAAGGCTCGGGATAGTCGCTAGCGCTGAGATGTGACAGATCCACAGGAGATGGTGGAGGTGAACGGATAGTTGGTGACTGGGTCGTAGTATAATAAGGCGAACCAGCAGTCGGTGACTGAGGCGTCGTATAATGTGCCTTCGCCAAAGCTGCTTGTCGAGCCCATACTCTCGGGGGCAAATGCGGAGTATCTGGAGAACTATCCACGTAATTCTCCTGCTCGAACTCACTCGGCGTGTAAACATTGTCAGCCCGCTTCTGATCCTCCAACTTCATATCCAGAGCCTCCATAGCATCGCCATCTTCATATATCGCAAATCCTTGGCCCGCACCATCGGTTTTGGCAATGGGCATGAGCCACTCGCAGTCGATGCACAGACGATGCCCGCAAGAAGCGCATCGTTCAATTTCTATGTTGATAAATCGGCAGATGTGGCAGCTGTATCGTTTGGCTAGTTGCAGTGTCGTCGTCGTTTTATCGACAGCCAACGGCTGCTGAGGAGTCGGTGCCGGCTCAGGAGCAGCTTCAGCCTGCGGAGCCGACTCCCCACCCCTCCCACCCCTCCACCACCCCTTGGCCCCCTCCACCCTAACCCCCACCTCCGTCCCCCTCGTCCTAACCCCCACCCCCACGCCAACCTCATCCCTCCGCCTCCCTTCCTCCAAATACCTCCCTACCTGCTTCGGCACCTCACTAGCAATCTGTCTCGGCACTTCCTTCACAATCTGCTTCAGCATCTCCGTCCCCGCCTGAGCTCCGCTAGACCCGCCGCCGTCGCCGCCTTCGTTTTTCTTTCCATCGACGTCTAAGTCTAGTCCGAAATTCCGACGGTGGATACCGAGACCGAGGCCGAAGTGGCCGGATGTCCCGCTCTCGTGGAGGAGGGAGGAGAGGGCTAGGCGCGCGGCGTGGCGGCGTTGGTGGTGGGTGTGACTGTGGCTATCTATTGATCGATCGCGATGCCGTTTGGAAAGGTTGAGGTCTTGGTCTGCTGCGGTGGGGATGTCGGGGGCTTGGGCGAGGGAATGGATGCGTGATAGTTCTGCTGCGGCGCTGGATATGGAGTGGCCCGCTTGGGGTGTGTCGGAGGAGGCGGAGCGGTTGTGTTTGTGTTTTTTGTGGGAGGGGGTCATTGTTTGTAGGAAGGGAGTGGGATGCCAATTGAAGGCGTGTCGAGGTGTTGGAGGAGATTGACCGATGTATGGAGGTGAAAAGGTCTGGGGCAGTTGCTGGATAATAGAGATATTCTCAGCGCTCCTGGGTATAAAATGGTCTTGGGATAAAGTATGTAAAGAAGAAAGCTTGGTTAAAAGAATGAAGGCATACAATGGATGTACGCTCATGACGATATAGCCATGGTTGGTATGTGGGAGTGGACATGGAAACGGGAGGCACTGCTAGAATGAGGGGCTGGGTCTTCTCGCGGGTAGAAAGGGAAAGCGCGACTGGAGGGCGGCTGCTCGTGCTAATTTCATCGCAGAAGTCGAAGGGCAGGCACGATGGGAGGGATGCTCTTGCCCATTCCAAAAAGATGAATTGCAGTTATAGAAAGGGAAAGCGCGAGTGGCGGGCCGCTCTTGCCTACTTCATAACGACTGATATGATATGATATAAACCCGACAGCCGTAATGAAAACCACTTACCTACAATCAATAGTTGTCACATCAACACAAGAGGCACATCAAGCGACGACATGCACACCACCAACGACATTTCACGCAGACCCTCCTGCTCACATAACACGACGCGATCTCGAACATTCTTTGGATATACACGGTACGGTTTTTAATACAACTTTACCATCTCTAAAAGCCCTCTATAACAATCATCTCAAGCAAGCCGATGGATTACTTGAGCGCAGCCTGCAGACTCTCCAGAACCTAATTTATCTTCAGTCAGCAATGTCCCCGTGTCCACTTACGCCAGACTCGGTGAAAGCTGGAAGGTTGTATAGTATGGTGCACGGCTTACCTCAATCTCAATGTTGGCCTCAGCGATCTCTGTCGCGCTGCCGTTGCCGCTAGCCACCTTCTGCGCCTCGGTGAGCTGGGAGCGCACAGCCTCGATGCTGAAGTCCTCAAGGGGGAACCCCTCGACGGCGTTGATGCTGAGGACGGAGTTTGGGTTCATGACGGCGAAGCCACCGGACACTATATCACATCACACTTGTTAGCTTTATCCCTTTTCGATATCTCCTGACACCTCGGCAGGTGCAATTCGCCAGCAAGGCCAACGGATATAGGGTATAGCGAGGGTTGGAGAGTACGCACGGAAAAACTGCTTGCTGCCAGCGCTCTCCTCAATGACCTCGATCAATCCAGGCTTGAGCTGCTCGATCGAAGGGACGTGGTTGGCGAGGAGACCCATCTCTCCGGACTCGGCGGCGATGTTGACCTGGACGACGTCGTGGGAGGTGTAGACCTTCTATAAGACACACACACGTCAGCCACTCTTCAATCTTCCCTTCCCAAGTCCTCCCGTTATCCAATGGCTGCCCCATCCATCCCCGTTGTGTTGTTCGTTTCAATCCCCACGGCTAATCTTCCACCACAACCACCCATCTCCCAGCCATCTCAATCCGCCCCATCCCATCGGAAAACTTGGGTTCGCATACCTGGTGAGGAAGGTTCAAGCTCAACTTGATCTACGCCGCCACCAATTAGCCTCGCTGTCCCTAAAATCTTCCTCCTCCGAAGTCAATCAACCGACCTTATCCGAAACAGCCTCAGCATATCCTCTGCGCTGGACGGGAGCCTTCATGGCAGGTGCGCGAACGCGCAGGGCCGCGCGGGCAATGCGGAAGGAGTTCATGATGGGCGTGTTGTGGGGGGAGGAGGGGTTGGTTCAATTGGGAATCAAGAGCTTGCGGGAGCGGTCGTCGAGGAGGAGCTTCGGGATAGATTCTCGTGATGGCCTCGCTAAAATGGGATTGAATTTCTTGGCGGGAGTTTAATTTCGATATCACGTGGGAGAGAATCACGTGAACATTATATCGGAAAAATAAATTTGGGAAGGGGAGGTTATGGTTGTAAGTCTATCCGTTTCTTTGGAGTGTTTTTTTTATTACTGTAGAGGTAGGTATGGAAGAGGCTGTTATTCATCCAAAACTCAAATATCCACGTGACCCAACTCGAAGTCTCCAGAACCACCTTGTCGCGCCTGACAAACCAGTCACCAACCTCATCAAACCGGCCCACCCCACACAACACAAAGTCCACACCGCCCCCCGTACTCGCCTAACCCCCATCCTCGGCCACCGTACCCCCAACGCAACCCTATGACGAAATCCCCATCGCCGGTTCACGGGCACTAGTCCATAGTGGCCATAGTCCACCACAGCAGCCCTTGTTCCGTTAGCTTAGCTTTGTCGATGGTGGTGGTCCCCTTAAACCTCCGACGCAGAGCGATTCGCTGCCAAAAATGCCTCAAGCACAGGAATGGGGACGCGGATGTGGGGGGGGATGGGGGGACCCTTGGTGGCGTCGTTGTTTGCCGATCGATGAAGTGTTGTGGCAGCTTGGCGGGGGGGGAGGGGTGGTT